TATATTAAATTAAATATATTAAAATATATTAAGTTATTAATATATTAAAATATATAATAATATATAATTATTATATATAATAATAATAATAATAATAATAATAATAATAATAATAATAATAATAATAATAATAATAATAATAATAATAAAAATAATAATAATTAATAAAATAAATAACTTTAAATTCCAAAATCCAATGTTAGCAAGTATGTTGGTTTTGATGTTTTGTTGTGTTTTGATATGGTATCTTGTGTTGTGTTGTGATGAATTGCGGGCTTCCAATTACAGCTTTTGTGGAACACGTTTGTAATAAAATACTAGCTGTCTCTATCAGCACTTTTTTGTTTTGTTTATATATACCCAAAACCGCACTGATATTTTGTTTGAATGCTTGCTCACTTCTTATTTTTTTATTTTGAGCTTTAGAAAATAATTTGCTGTCTCTGTCAGCTATTTGAGTTTTTTTATATTAAAGTTGTGCAAAAATCAACAAAAATCGAAAAAGCGCGCGCTATTTTCAAATTAATATTTTATGCACTATTAACTTTTAGGAATTGTTTTTTTGTCCGAGAATGTTCTGTTTTTTATTTTTGTATTAATAACAAAAGTAATTCTTTTAAAAGTGATTGTTATTTGCTTGTTTTATACTGAAATTTAAATTTTTCCGAGACCGGCTTAATAACACGTCCGCTCACTAGAAAGTTCGAAAGCTAAATTTCACAATTGACAATTTTAGTTTTACTTCTTTATTTCTCAATTAACACAACAATAATTAATTACAATAATGAATTACAAAAACGTTAGTTAGGTGCTTCTTTTTACTTATCTAATTCATAAGCTACAGGCTGTTTACCTTTTGGTAACAGATGGCCATGCGAACGCAACAATCTATAAATGACACTTACAGCGACAAAATTAACCAGCGCATCGCCATCTGTCGTGATATAAAAACCAAAATACAAACAGCAGCCAACTTAAACTTCTTCACGTACACGGCTTTGCTCATTATAGCCACTTATGTGGATGATTTACCATACAAAGGACTTTTATATAAATTTGAGAATTTATAAATATTCTATTAGCTGCAAAAATGAGCTCATTATTGTAATGTAGTAATAGGAATTTTCTTTTGTAAGCATATCACAAAATAACAAATAAAATAAGCACTACTTCGGTAGCAACTCTGTACAAAATGGTGATTTTGTTAGACTCTTATGTGCAAAACACGTAATAAAATTTTAAGTTGAAATTTTGAAAATGAATAATAATTCTTTGCAGTTAATGGTGAAAATATTTTTTTTTACATGATTATAAATAAAATATAATTTTTCATGCCTTTAAACAGTAAAATAATAAACAGAAAAAATAAAGTATTTGTTACGAGCAATGACGACACGAAATACGAATAATTAACGAAACCATTCGTTGACAGTTAACTGGAAATTTATATAGGCAGTAGCACACATACATTTGTATGTGTGCTACTGCATAGCTTCGATACAGCATAGCTTCGTATCGAACTACTATTGTTGCGGGGGCGATAAATACTAGAAATATGCAAGCTAAATTATTATATAGCATACATACATTTGTAGATATGCAATAGCATAGCTTCGTACGCAAACAATATCATTGCTTGGGCGATAAATACTATATCGTTGCTTTGGCGATAACTACTAGATATATGCAAGCTAAGCACATTGATTGATTTCGAAACGTCTAGAAACATAGTGGTTAGTAGTACCAGATTCCAGTATCGCGCGTCGCTAAAAACCGATACATTCAAAAAAGAAGGGGAGAAAAAAAATGTTTTCTATAATTTCATCTTACGATCAGGAGAAGAGCAGCCTTGCGTCATTAAGCCTAACCAATTCACACCAATTAAAAGAAGGTAACCTAAAATGGTATATGAAAATCCTGCAAATCTTCCGGAGCACACCGTGTCTCACGGTCTCCGATAAGATGGATAAGAAGATCTTTAGACACTTTAAAGTCTAACATAAGGGACCGCACTTCATAGAGAAACAATAAAGAAGATTTTGAAAAGAACTCGTAGTGTTGTGTATCTAGTTTTGACTAGATACCGTAAAATTCATTAACAATTGGTTACGAACTTTTTCCTCGTACGTGATATAATTGTTAATGTGATCTAATTTATTTTTAAATAATTTTCTGCATACAACGCGGAAGCGTTTTTACTAAATATTATTGAGTTCAGCCATTGAACATTTAATTTTTTTGCAGAATGACATATTTCGAATATTGGCAGTTACCAACAGATAACTAGGTCAGTATTTTGCTTTCTTTTTTTCTGCATAATAGCAGAAACTTAATGGAAATTTCCGATCATACATTAAGCTCATGATCAATGTTTTCGCAGATAGAGGTGAAAACATGGAAGATTTTTGATCAACGGAGTTTATTTTTTAATCAGTTTTTTTTTGTTCAGTTAATGAGTTTATGATGACAAGTCTGATTGTGTGTCTTGACCAGTAATGGAAGTTGTTCAAAATACTAAACAAAAAATAACACGCCAAACATCAAAATTCAATCGTACAACCGTTTTGTTTATTTATTCGTTAACTACTTCCACTTCTACATCTCGGACAACCGCAATCATAGATGTTACCCAATTAACTAACATGCAGAAAGTACATGGTAGTTTCAACGTGTGGTTACCAGAGTATTAATATATTAACATTTTAACAAACAAAATAAGACTTAATTCTAAACATTTCTCTCACCTAGACGTGTAACGCAAGCGGCTTCACCGTCTATGTGACTTACACAAATACAAGAATAGTATAATTTCATATATGAACATTCTCCTATAGTGTTGACGATTTATTGCAGCATTACAGTCTCAGGCCATGATTCAATGGCAATCTGTAGAACAGATATTTTACTTGTCGGCCTTTTCAAAGTTGTTGCTTGCATTCTAATCGTCACAACGTGAGTTGCAACTCTTTCATTTCGAATCAACACCAACTGCCCAAGTGCGACATCTTCTTCTATTTTATTCCATTTGTTGTGCACTTGTAATTGGGATAGGTACTTGTTGAATATTTGCTTATATTATATTATATTATTGTTTTTATTAATTTTGTATGAATAATTTGTTATTTTATTTATAATTGTGTTAAATATATTTGGTGTAAAAAATAACGTTGTCAATGCAATGCCCAAAATACGTCATACGCTTCTGCTGGCACATGAAAACAAAAGCGTCAAATTTCGTCTGCAAGAAAATGCACTCTTGCAGTTTGCAATAAGTTCATTGTTTGGCATGCATTCTCAAGGTTATTTTAGTTAATTTATTTGTTGTAAATTAATTATCAATTTTAAATAAAGGGCACAATTGAATTTTTGACAATCGAATTGATGCGAAGCCACATTCGTGATTGATTCATTTCTTTAGCTTTGTAAATTTAGTTCAAGTGCTGAATTTACGTCACAAAAGCGCCTATTCACTGGATTTAAGTGTTCAGTGACTAGGATAATTAGGACAATCGTCGAAATCTCTGGGTTCAAGTACTCAGTGGTTTTCCTGTTTAAATAGAATCAACATAAGTACTGGATTCAAGTGTTCAGTGCTTGCAAAATAGTTGATTCCAACGTTGATCAGACATTTTGGTTTGATCGTACATTTTGGTGACCCCGTGAAACGGACAGCAGCACAGGACTGGTTTGATGCAGCAACAGTCAACAATCAACAGTCAGCGGTTAAGTTTCAGCATTCAGCATTCGAAGAACATTCTTAAGCACATTTGGCAAAAAACTACAAATCATCAATGACAACTCTTAATGAACTCATAGATGCCCAAAAAGAAAAGGGCGAAGAGATTCAGCGAATCATCAGGAACTTCAAAAAGGATTCGGCTGAACGCAAGCAAACATCAGCATACTACAGTGAAAGATTTCGTCGGCTTGATGTTGCTTGGAAGCAGTTTGAACAAACTGACACAATGCTCAGAACTCTCATCGATCAACCGACAGATGATGAGTATTTTACATCTTCTTATTACGAGAAAATAAGAGAACTAACAAATGAATACAGTGAAATATTCAAGACAGAAGCCATTCGGATCAAAGCAGCAGACAACTTTGGTGAAGCTGCTAGTAACCAAATGGCATCACAGCCGCAACTAGTGGCTACGACAAATGGTTTGATAAGAAAAATATCTGCTCGAATGGCAGCTCTAAAAAGATTAGTAGAGAGCTTGTCAGAGAGCGAAGGCATACAGCCAATTCAATATTACGAAATTAAATCAAACACAATCATGCAACATTGGAACCAATTGGAATGTTTGCATGATGAACTATGGGAAAACTTTGAAAATCCAGTGATGTCAGGATTCAATCAAGATGAGTATTACCAAATTGAAGATTTGGTACAACAATGTTTGATAAAATTGTCCATAAAATTGGATCAATTACAACCGAAACAAGCAACAGTAGCGGAACCAAACATGCGGTCCTCACTGCCATTGCCAAAGGTAACAATCCCAAGCTTTAATGGGAATTACTTAAAATGGAGGCAATTTTTTGACTTGTTTACACAAATGGTAGACAATCAGCCACTACCAGGTGCTCAAAAAATGTGGTACTTGAAATCACATGTGACAGGTGAAGCTGAAAAATTGATAAGTCATTTCAGCATAACGGAGGACAATTATTCGGCAGCTTGGACATTACTGCAAGACCGTTATAATAATAAAAGGGTCTTGGCGTCCACGTAAATCGATGAACTTTTAAATCAGCCATCAGGCACATCAACTGTGGCAGCAGTTAAAAATTTACATGACACAACGAAAGAGTGTCTATTAGCACTAAACAATCTTGGCATTCAAACGACATTTTGGGACCCAATTTTGTTACAGGTACTAATTAAAAAACTCGATCGGGCGATGCTCATTAGATATGAGCAATCTCTGGCAAAACCAAAAGAGATACAAAACATTCAGTAGTTTTTAGCCTTTTTAGAACTACAGTTCCAACTGATGGAAGTTGTAGAACAAAAAGATAAGGTGGCTATAAAAATTAAAGCAAATCGAAATAACTCAGTGTCATCGGCTGTAACAGTTTCTAAAGGAAACAACAATTGCAAACTGTGCAATGTAGACAGGCACCCACTGTATCATTGCCGTAAATTTTTGCAATTTTTACCATCTCAACGATTGGATTGGGTGAAAAATCAACAGCTCTGTTTTAACTGTTTCAGAAATGATCATGTGGTGAACAAATGTTCATCAAGAAGTTGTACCAAATGTAATAAAAAGCATAACACGTTGCTACATTTGGAAGTTACAAAACAGAACATTCAACCTAGCTCAAGTGGGTACAACACCGCAGTCACCACAGCGACAGCAAACACATCCACAGGTCATCGTGATTATGTTCTCTTGCCAACTGCAAGAGTCAAAATAATTGCATCTAATGGAAATACAAGTGAAGTCCGAGCATTACTAGACTCTGGTTCGCAAGTGAACATAGTCTCTGAGCGTCTTGGCAAAAGGCTCAATATATCAATAACAAAATCGTTATTGTGCATAGAAGGTATAGGAAAGGTGCAAAAAAATTCAACGCAGCGAGTTAACATCAAATTGCAATCACTTAACTCAAGGTTTACTACAGAAGTCGAAGCGTTTGTGCTTCCAAATATAGTTCCACCTCAACCAAGTTGCAGCTACGATATTTCCAAATGGAAGGTCCCGAACAGCATTCAGTTAGCAGATCCAACATTTTTCCAACAAGGGAAAATTGATATTTTACTCGGTGCGGAGTTCTATTTTAGTCTGTTAAAGAAAAGTAAATTAACGCTTGCTCCTGGGCTTCCAGTCTTGCAAAATTCTACACTTGGCTGGATTGTCAGTGGCAAGGTTGCATCAAATACAGACAAATCAAACGTTTTATGTGTAGTTTTTGGCGGTGGGGCGGAGGTTGTTGATAATAACTCATCGTTAGAAGATGCAATTGAACGATTATGGCGAATGGATGAGGTGAATACAACAGAAAGGACATTATCTAAAGAAGAAAAATTATGCGAATCTCATTTTGTGCAGAACGTCCATACAAATAAAGAAGGACGTTTTGTGGTAAGGTTGCCGTTTCTGGAAAACTCATTGACGTTAGGGGAATCTCAAGAAAAAGCTTGGAGAAGGTTCATCAGTCTTGAACGACGACTAGCAAAAAATGATGTTTTGCGGAAACAATATGTCCAGTTTATGGAAGAGTATGAGCGATTGGGTCACATGACTGAAGTAAACTTGGATTCCATGTTGACTCCAAGATATTTCATTCCTCATCATTGCGTACTAAAACTAGATAGTACAATTACTAAACTTCGAGTGGTGTTTGACGCATCAGCCAAAACTACATCTGGACACTCGTTGATTGATTTAATGTATAACGGACCGACAGTTCAAAGTGAACTCTTTTCAATTCTGCTCCGTTTTAGGCGACCACGGTTTGTTTTCACCACAGATATCGAGAAAATGTATCGTCAAGTTTTCATAAATCCTGAAGATCGACGCTATCAACTTATCATTTGGAGAAGCAGTCCAAATTCAACGATTCGTTATTATCAGCTAAACACAATTACATATGGGACTCGAGCAGCTCCTTACCTAGCAACAAGATGTCTGCAAAAGATAGCATCAAAAAACAAGGTGAATTATCCATTAGGAGCTCAAATCCTGTGTGACAATTTCTACGTTGACGATGGGCTCGGTGGATCAGATAGTTTAATTACGGCTATTGAAGCTCAAAGGCAATTAATCCATATTTTAAAGAAGCATCAGTTTTACCTACGGAAATGGAGTGCAAACCATCCTCAACTTTTAAAAAACATTTCTCAAGATGATCAAGAGGTAAATCTAGATTTTACTAATGATAATAACGAGTCAATCAAAACGCTGGGATTATTTTGGTTGCCCAAAGCAGATTTATTTGGAATTAAGGTCAAAATGGTTACTGAAGGAATAATCACGAAGAGAGTCGTTAGTTCTGATTTAGCTAGACTGTTCGACCCACTTGGTTTAATAGCTCCAGTAATAGTCAAAGCAAAGATTTTCATACAACACTTATGGCAATTGAAATTATCTTGGGATGAACCACTTCCTACAGATCTTCGTACAACGTGGTCAACATTTAGAGAAAAATTAAGTACTCTTGAAAATCTTCAGGTGGCAAGACATATCTTCAGAGGCGAAGTTCCATCATCAACACAGCTACATATTTTTGCTGACGCATCTGAAAAGGCATTTGGTGCTGCAGCATATGTCAGAGCAATTTTAAAAGATGGTAGAATAATAGTGCGACTGTTATGTGCAAAGTCAAGAGTAGCACCACTTAAAAAACAAACGCTACCGCGACTAGAACTATGTGCGGCAGTCCTAGCAGCGGAACTCTCAGCAAGAGTGAAAAGCGATCTTCAAGAGAAGGACCAGCCGGTATTTTTGTGGACTGATCCAGAAATTGTGTTGTCTTGGATCAACTCACAGTCCTCATCATTTCAAACATTTGTAGCTAACAGGGTAGCAAGAATTCAAACTTTAACTCTGTCTGAACAGTGGCGACATGTTAGGTCAAAGGACAACCCAGCTGATGTGTTATCAAGAGGACTTTCAGCAAGGGCGTTGTCAACATGTGCACTCTGGTTTCAAGGACCGTTCTTTTTGCATGGAAGGCAGGAAGTATGGCCACCAAGGTTTTCATCATCATTACAAGTTCCAGTCGATCTGGAGAAGAAGAAGGTTGTAGCTGTAGCAACTCAAAGCAATGACGCAGATTTCATATACAGGATTCAACACAAGAATTCATTTAAGACGTTACAAAAGATAGTAGCATATGTTCTTAGATTCACTAACAACGCAAGAAAATCAAAGGAGTCACGTGCCACACATATAGTACTTAGTGCCAACGAATTGGATGCAGCATTAATAACTATAATATGTCACATTCAGGGTAATGATTTTCATGAAGAAATCAAACAACTAAAGAAACAAGGTCATGTTGATAAATCTAGTTCAATCAGTAGTTTATCTCCATTCATTGATAATGCAAATGTTCTTAGAGTAGGAGGACGCTTAGAAGCCTCATCATTACCATACGATTCTAAACACCCAATGCTGATCCCATACAATGATCCATTGGCAAAATTATTATTCGTGATGTTCCATGAAGAAAACAAACACTGTGGCCCGCAGGCACTATTGAGTACAGTCCGACAACGTTTTTGGCCGATTAAAGGTAAATCAACAGCCCGAGCAACAGTTCAGCGATGCATTCGATGCAACAAAGCACGTCCGCAACTATGCCAACAAATTATGGGCAATTTACCAGAATCAAGAATAACTCCTGCAAGACCCTTTATTAATGCTGGTGTAGATTATTGCGGACCATTTTGGATCCACTACAAGGTGAGGGGCAAAAAGCCAACAAAGGCATATATTGCTGTCTTTTGTTGCTTTTCTACAAAGGCGGTACATCTCGAGTTAGTGACCGATTTATCAACAAATGCTTTCATTGGAGCATTAAAACGATTTATAAGTCGACGAGGACGTTGTTTGAATATTTACAGTGATAACGCAACAAACTTCGTAGACGCCAAAAACCAGTTAGCAGAATTAGAAGAAAGCATTTATTCTAATAAGGACAAGAAGCAATAATCTCTGCCTGCAGTACCACAGGAATAAATTTTCATTTTATTCCACCAAGGGCTCCACACTTTGGCGGTTTATGGGAAGCATCCGTAAAGTCCGCAAAATATTTGTTACTACGCAGCGTTTCAACAGCATCATTGACGTATGAAGAACTCGAAACAGTAGTGGTGGAAATTGAAGCGATATTAAATTCACGAACATTGACTCCAATGTCCAATGATCCAACTGATTTGACAGCATTAACTCCAGGACACTTATTAATTGGAGAAGCTCTTACAACTCATGTAGACAGCCGATCGAAACCAGAAAAACACACGTTATTGTCACGTTGGAACCTAGTTTCCCAGTTAAAACATAATTTCTGGAAACGCAGGTCTAACGAATATTTGATGGAATTGCAACAACGTAACAAATGGAAAACACAATCTGCCAACATACAGTTAGGAGACATGGTTATAATCAAAGAAGATAACGTCCCAGTGATGCAGTGGCCCTTGGGACGAATTGTACATGTGTACAAGGGTACAGATGGACATATCCGAGTAGCTGATGTTAAAACATCGGCAGGCATTTTTAAACGCCCAATTCATCCATTAGCTATACTGCCAGTAAATACAGATGATCAACCAACAATGGCTGAAGCTGATCACGAAGTACCTCCTGACAAGTTAATTATGAAAGATAGAAAAGAGTCGTATGAAGAGCCCAAGACAAAACGTAGAAAACTGCCAACCAATTTGTACTGTTCTGTATTACTTACACTATTACTGATATTGCCAATAGTAATAGGATCTCCAATTGACAATAAAAGGTTTGGCACAAAATTGGGTATTCACTTTGAAAATCTGGGCACAACTGCCATATCAACCACTGAATGGAATCTACTAGTTTATTATGATTTAAGTCTTTATTGGACGGAAGCAGCAGCTCTAAACACAGGAATAATGTCGCTACATCAAGCTTGTCAACAAATGAAACCAAATGCATCATGTGCGAATACAGTTAATCACTTTAAACATATTGAATCCGAACTACAACTCGATGATAAATTACTTCATAATCATCGCTTCAAAAGAGGAGCAATTGATCTTGTAGGCAATATTGCACATTCGCTGTTTGGAGTATTAGACTCAGAATATGCCAAAGGAATGTCAAATATAATTACAGAAGTGAAACAAAATGAAATACAATTATTGACGCTATTTAAGAATCAGACATCAGTTGTCGATTCAACAATCAACATAATGAAGAAAGATAAAATAGCAGTTCAAGAAGGTTTTGACCACATTGACAATGAAATAAAGGTATTGATAAATTCAATAAAAGATACAAATAGAGAGGTAAATCAATTACGGCTCAATCAAGTTTTCAATGCAGGAGCCATTCAATTAACACTGGTAGCACATAATCTACAGAAGATACAATCTGCTATTATAGATGCTCTAACTGATACTCATCATGGAAAAGTGAATCCATTGTTATTGACACCAACACAATTACAAAAGGAAGTTAATCAAATCAAACTTCATTTATCACCATCATTAGAATTACCGATGCCAGAAGATGAGTTAATATCCCTTTACAGACTAATGAAGGTTAAAGGTGGAATCACACAGCAGCATGCAGTTTTTAGTATAACACTACCCTTGATTGAACATGAACGATTTGAATTGTTTCAGCTAATTCCAATCCCGAACTGGGTAAATGACTCCATGACGGTAATTGACTCCTGCAGTTCTATTTTGGCTATTAATACGCAGCATGATCAATATTTTCCTCTTATAAAATCCGAATTAAGTCTTTGTGAGACCATTAAGGAAGAGGAATTTCTTTGCACCAACGTCCGCATACGATACAATTTTGGTTCCGAAGTATGTGCGTGTGAAGTCAACCTATTCAACAACAACACAATACCAAATTGTCGGTTGAAACACACTATCAACAAGCTGACCTGGATTCCATAGAATCACAGAAATCAATGGATTTATGCGACATCAACATCTTCACGAGCAACTGCAGTATGTAATAAAGAAATCATTCCACTAAATCTAAAAGGTTCAGGATTATTGACGATCGATCCAGACTGCGTGCTTAAACACAACTTTGTTTCCGTGCAAGGACAACAAATAATTGCAAGCACGGCAAGATATTTATACAGTAGTCTTGGTACAATCTCCGAATTAAGGCTACAACCCCCTATGAAGACATCAGATGCTTACAGCGGCAACAGTACACTGTCAACGGTACGCAACAACCAATACGATCAACAGCTTAAAGAACTCACAGTATTGCAGAAGGTGTTACAGTCATACCAGATAAATGATCTTCCAAATCAATTTCAGTCACACAAGTACCACAGCTTCACCATAGCTTACGCTGCACTCGTTATAGGGCTGATATTAATCATAATCATGATGAAGAAGAAATTGCAGAAAACACATGTTGAAATTCCATCCGATGAAGAAGCCACCCGCACAACACCTACACCCATGCCACGTCGACAGTCACGAGAATTCGTTATCAACATATAGTCGGACTGACTACCTGACAGCTAGAGGCTCATATTGTTGAACGGTTGTTCAACGCGGGGGAGAATGTTGAATATTTGTTTATATTATATTATATTATTGTTTTTATTAATTTTGTATGAATAATTTGTTATTTTTATTTATAATTGTGTTAAATATACAAGGTGAGATGAAAAAACTGCAACAAAGTAAAACGCCATAATTTTTTAATTTTTTTTAAATTTTATTGAATGAAAGCAAAAAATGTCGGAAATAACATCAAATTTGAGAATCGGTTTAGATTTGTTCGAATTGGCCACCTTTGGCACGAACTATGACCTTCAAACGGCCAATGAAAC